CGACTATAATAACGATAATAATAATAATAATAGAAAATGTATATTAAAAAAGGGTTTTGGATAAATACAAAAATAATTCTCCCAAACTAATTCTCTTCCCCAACTTACCCAAAACATACCTACGCATATATAGTCACATGAGCAAGAAATCCAATTATGAAAATGATGATGTATTTGATGAAATAAATAGGAAAATCAAAAGCTGTAGGCAATGTTCACAATGTCCAAATCATCAGGAATCAAAACTTGAAAGATAAGCACAAATTATTGACAAAGAAATGTCTTTGTCAGATGAATCTATTGGTGACTAAAATATTAGAAATGTCCAAATAAAGAAAATCAAATGTCACAAGAACCTATTCTAAACAATGGTGAATCAGCATTTGTTATCCCTGAAGAGTCAAGCTGAGATATTGAATGGGAGCCTGGATCACCTGGTGGAAATGGAGAAAGGAACATCAGTCAGAAAGATTATCATCATTTCAATAATCTTGCGCCACCACCAGAAAACCCAAGTAACGAAATGGGACCAGAAAACCATTTGCAACAATTATCAATTATAGTGTACAAAGGAAACAACACGTGCGAAAACAACGGCTTAGAAATTATTGCCAAAAATGAGGCTACTGGATCCACTGAGAGCATCAAATACAATAATTCCGCGTTTGATAGGCGAGATGAGATTAAGAAAAGGAGTCATCCACTTGGAAGCAAGTACAATTCACCTATATTCAGTATCAGTCTCTCAGCGTTCTTGTGAACAGAGAGAACGCGAACCAATGGAAACAACAAGAGAATTTGTGGAGCCTACAGGAAGATCCAATTGTGATTCCGAGAGTGAAGACTAAATATGAAGAAATTGAAAAAAACCAAAAGTAAAGTTAAAAAATAATTGGGCTGGAAATTTCTTCAATTTTGTAACTATGCTCATTGGATCAACAACACCAAAGAATCACAACTAGAAGAACACTAGGAATTGATTAAGCTCAAATTACTGAACCCCACACCACCAAAGCAACAAGAAACGATAAGTCATCCAGACAGTGAAGTGATAATGAACTTTTGATGAAGGAAAAATTGTGAAATGAAAGCAAAGAACTATTAACCCCTCCCCTTTAGGAATGTTCGAACACAGAAAGTAAACGGTGTTGGAGAGAACTACAGGTAAAACGCTTGAGAAAGTCACGTTTGAAAACTGCAACCAAGAAGTAAAATGTGGCTATAAAAATTGACTTCTCACCACTCTGAAACTACCAAATTCATCACTGCTAAAGATGACACTAATATCTGCATTACCAGTCTGCTTCGGAGAGTACAATGAAAAAGAAAATAGGGCAAAGTTGAAATTTGCAGTTTGTTAAATTGGTTGTTTTACCAATCACACGTAACTGTAACACAGAGAATAATCCGAG